TGTCGCATATTTTTCACGAAGAAATTCACGAAATTGACGATATCGTGAACTTTATCGTGAACTTTTCACGATGAAATTGACGATATCGTGAATTTTATCGTGAAAAGTTCACGATATAAAGTTCACGATATCGTCAATTTTATCGTGTACTCTATCGTGTACTCTATCGTGTACTCTCCTGACGGGCGCTTCGTAAACAAAACCAGCCCTAGCTGGGGGAGACAGAGAGAAGGAAAAAAGGGAAAGGGAAAGAGAAGATAAAAGGAAAGAAAGAATAATAAGAAGAAAAGAGGGAAACGGGGGGGGGGGGGGAGCGAAGGGCTCTTGCCTCCTCCTCACTCCCCCCCCCCCCCAAAAAAAAAAAAAAAATCAGAGAGAGAGAAGGGAAAGGGAAAGGGAAAGAGAAGATAAAAGGAAAGAAAGAAGAGGAAGAAGAAGAAAAGAGGAAAACGGGGGAAGGGCGAAGGACTCTTGCCCCCCCCCCTCCCCCCCCCCCCGCCAAAAAATAAATCAGAGAGAGAGAGAGAAGGGAAAGGGAAAGGGAAAGAGAAGATAAAAGGAAAGAAAGAAGAGGAAGAAGAAGAAAAGAGGGAAACGGGGGCAAAGGGCTTTTGCCTCGTCTCCCCGCCCCCCGCCAAAAAATAAATAAGAGAGAGAGAGAGAGAAGGAAAGGGAAAGAGAAGAAAGAAAGAGAAAAACGAAAAAGAGGGAGAATAGGAAAGAAAGGAAAAGAAAGAAAAGAAAGGAGGCAAGAGCCCTTCGCCCCTGTTTCCCTCTTTTCTTATTCTTTTTCCTCTTCTTTCTTTCCTTTTATATTTTCTTTCCCTTTCCCTTTCCCTTCTCTCTATCTCTCTCTCTCTCTCCTATTTATTTGTTGGCGCGGGAGGGGGGAGGAGGCAAGAGCCCCTCTTTTCTTCTTATTCTTCTTCCTTTCCTTTTTTATTCTCTTTCCCTTTCCCTTCTCTCTCTCTCTCTCTCTCTTATTTATTTTTTGGGCGGGGGATGCAAGAGCCCTTCGCCCCCGTTTCCCTCTTTTCTTCTTCTTCTTCCTCTTCTTTCTTTCCTTTTATCTTCTCTTTCCCTTTCCCTTTCCCTTCTCTCTCTATCTCTTATTTATTTGTTTGGCGGGGGGTGGGGAGGGAGGAGGCAAGAGCCCTTCGCCCTTCCCCCGTTTCCCTCTTTCCTTCTTATTCCTCTTCTTTCTTTCCTTTTATATTTTCTTTCCCTTTCCCTTCTCTCTCTTATTTATTTTTGGCGGGGGGGGGGGGAGGAGGCAAGAGCCCTTCGCCCTTCCCCTGTTTCCCTCTTATTCCTCTTCTTTCTTTCCCTTTCCCTTCTCTCTCTCTCTCTCTCTCTCTTATTTATTTTTTTGGCGGGGGGGGGGGGGGGGGAGGTAAGAGCCTTTCGCCCTTCCCCCGTTTCCCTCTTCCCCTTTTCCTCTTCTTTCTTTCCTTTTATATTTTCTTTCCCTTTCCCTTTCCCTTCTCTCTCTCCTTATTTATTTTTTGGCGGGGGGGGGGGGGGGGAGTGCATGAGGAGGAGGCAAGAGCCCTTCGCCCCCCCCCCCGTTTCCCTCTTTTCTTCTTATTATTCTTTCTTTCCTTTTATCTTCTCTTTCCCTTTCCCTTTTTTCCTTCTCTCTGTCTCCCCCAGCTAGGGCTGGTTTTGTTTACGAAGCGCCCGTCAGGAGAGTACACGATAGAGTACACGATAGAGTACACGATAAAATTGACGATATCGTGAACTTTATATCGTGAACTTTTCACGATAAAATTCACGATATCGTCAATTTCATCGTGAAAAGTTCACGATAAAGTTCACGATATCGTCAATTTCGTGAATTTCTTCGTGAAAAATATGCGATAAAATTGACGATATCGTGAATTTTATCGCATATTTTTCACGATTTAGTCTATTCGCGATGTCCCTTCAGGGCCACCATACGAGCAAGTGAAAACATTTAATACAAAATAGGCTAGCAAGCAGTTCGCGCCAGCGAAGAGTTTCGAATTTGTTATATCACTTATATTTTCCTATTTTCATTTGTTTTACTTTTTCAGGGCCGTATGCGGAATATTTTTCTGGTGGGGGAGGGGGAAAGATGCGTTAAAAGTTTTCGAAGAATCTCAAAAGCAAAAGGAGTGAAGGGAGTTCGAGCGACCGAACTGGTCAAGAGGGTACTTTTGCATTTTCAAAAGTAGAATTGAAGGATTTGGTATAGGCCTACACTACATTTTCAGGAAAAAAACTGTACGTTTTCAAAATATCTGGGGTCAACTGCCCCCCCCCCCCCTGGTGCGTACGACCATGGTCTTTTTTTAAAAAATTTCCCCATTTTTATTCGTTTCCTTTTCTTTTCCCTTTTTCTTTCTTTTCTCTTCTTCTTCCTTTTTTCTTTCCTTTTTTTCCTTTTTTCTCTTTCTTTCCTTTTTTCTTCCCTTTTCCTTTTTTCTTTTTCTTTCCTTTCCTTTCTTTTCTTTTCTTTCCCCTTTTTCTTTTTTCCCCCCCTGGAGCCCGTCAGGGGGGGGGGGGGGCACTCTGCCCCCTGCCCCCCATAGGTACGCCAGTGGGCAACAGTTTGAGAAAGTGGGAAGGGTCATACAATATTAAATTCCCATTGGTCAACAGGTCCACTTCCTTTCATGTTCCCCCCGAACTTGAATTCAGGGAAATCCTACCAGTCCTACAGTATAGCCCGAAACATGACTCATAACTTTGATGGATTAGGCCATTTGACCAGTCTGTATTCCTGGCCGAAACCAAAACAATAATAAAATGGTCAAGGGTGTATTCCTCTTTTGTTATGTACATAACAAAAGAGGAATACAGCCATATAATGATACTGAGAATCATGACGCCTACTACTTTGAAAACATTGAGAATGGCTGTGTAGAAAGACATATTGCCCCCAGGGGTAACATAAACTCACCCTTGACCATACGAAATTTGAAAGGAAATGGACATGAGAAAAGCACCTAACTAGGAATAACAAGCACTACGTGCAAAACGAATGCGATTTTCTGACGAAGATAAGAAGAATATTTATGGGGCAGAATGTGAACGAAAACAAGGCAATGACGAAGGTCGTCATTGCAATAACATGCAGCCTTTTCACACACAGCTAAAATTCATCGTATCTAGAGATGATTAGTATAAACGTGTTTAACTCAACAGTTTTAAACATGTTTATAGAAAATTTTCCCTGTGTGAACATCGTTTATACGATGTTGGGATAGATAATAATTTTACCCCCCCCCCCCCCACCCTGAAAATGATCTCCCCCTAAAAATTACCCAACTTATTATCGGGGTTGACTTCCCCTTTAATGAACAGGGGGTATTGTTCTTGGTTGTCCCGGGGGGGGGGGGGGGGGGTCAATGTCCTATATAGGGGTTAAGTTTCAGAGATGGGGGTAATCGTCATCGGGGGTAATTTTCTGGGCGTAGTTTGAGTCGTCGAGGGGTAATTGTCATTTGGGTAATTATCCTTGGGAGTAGTTTTCTGGGGTGTAAAATTATTGTCCTTATTATGATAGGCGAATAAGGTGGGAGGCCGGGATTGAAGCCCCCCCCCCCCCCCTCCCCCCGAAGAATGTTGCAATGATGTTTGGCCGTTCGTTCGAGCAACCGAAAATTTCGGGTAACGATGTGGTCTATTGATTTGTAATTTAATGTAGGCCTACTAGTCATGAATTAAGTTAAATTTTGTGACAAAATTAGATATGATTGATATTAAGAAATGCTTGAAGTTCGGTTCTCCGACAGTGATCCCAATGACAAAAAATAGGTCCGGCTTTTAAAAAAGTTGCCAGGGTTGGTATAGATTTGCAAAAAGTTTGTATTCATGTTGTGTCGCCTTTTAATCCAGCGTCGTGGCTTTGTAGCGAAAAGAGTGCTTGTTTATAATACGATACAGGATGTTTCTTCGATTACACCCCTCCTTTTCCCCATTTTTCTTTTAGTCTCCCTCTTCAATTTTATATCCTTCTTTCTTAATACTTCTATGCTTTAGGCTATAATTATTTTTCAATTTTTTTTCAATTGTTTGTGTGTTATCTAATTTTACCAACATGACCAACATGAATCATGACATTTTCGCTGCCATAAATTTCCCTCAGTTGACTGTGAATAAAATAAATATAGGGGTAGAAACTAAAATCCCAGTCTGTTGTTTCATGTGAAATAAACCTATATGAATGGCTATCGAAAGAGTAGTATAAATAATACATTAAGGGCATACGCCTGTCAGGCCTTTCAAATTGCTAAGGTGATTCTTACGTTGTTAGTTTTGCGAAAGTTTTATGGCGAATAAAAGGTGAACATTTTTCATCTCTATCCATAACATAAATATCTCTCGGCAATAAAATGAATGAATATTGAATAAATAAATAGATGAATGGATGAATTTAACATGTAGCATTATGTAGAAAATGTGGGGGGGGGGGGGGGGGTGGGGGCAGTGGCGGATCCCGGGGGGCCCGGCCCCCCCCCCCCTTGAGAAAAAAATCATGTAAAATCACGTGATTTTTACCTTTTTTGGGGGTTGGGCCCCCCCCCCTGGCGCTCAAGGGGGGGGGGGGGTGCAAATTGAATTTTTTTTGAGGATCAAAAAAAAAAAAATGTGCTCACTACCCCCCCCCCCCCCTCCCCCCCCCCCCCCCATGGAAGTGAATCGACGACTTCGTTTTCAAGATCATTTCGGAAAGTTTTATCTTTCAAGTTGAACTATTATTATTGAATGCATAAAATACATTACTGCATATAATTTAGAAAAACTAGAAAACAAAAAGCACAACAACTTGAAGTCTTGAACAAATAATCAAACAGGAAACCACATTTGCGTCACATAGGCCTACCCTAAAATTGTAATGATGATGATTAAGTCGATGTCGGCGATGATGATAATTCCTATGACGAAAATGCTATGCTTTTCCAACCAATATCCTAAAAATATACGCTAATTTATTTTTAAATCAAGATTTGAGAGATGTCGAGAATAATTTGCAGTTTAAAAAAAAAATTAAAAAAATGAAGTGCCATTACTCTCTTTCCAAAGTGTTTACTTTAATAGTGGTAGTTTTTTTTGGACAAAATGTTGTTATTGTGGATTTTTTTTTCTTCCCCTCTCCCGATTAGCGATAGAACACTGAAGATTTGACTGAACACATTATTAAAACATCATAGACAAGTCGCAGGATTTTCCAAAGGCAGTAAAAAATTGTTTTTCCAGATCAGAAACTGATAAATAACAGTGCACTTGCATTAGGCCTACAGAGGCAAGGGAAGAAATAAAGAAAGAAATATCAATTATCAAAATAAAATGTAGATCGAATTCTACTGGGGATCGAAGCAATTTGATTTGGCCTAACGTGTACCCGAGATGTTTCCTTTTTCTATACTTTTGATGCGCGCCCACCATCGGGCGGAATTAGGGCGGGTCTAGGCGGAATTAGGCAAGGAAAATGCCTCACGCAGACGGCGCGCTACGGACAATCGCTTATGATTTCGGGCGTAAGAATGGCATAGCTAGATTTGCTAGAATTTCGGCAACAAATTGGTATACATTAGCGCCTGTATAATTCATTTCCAGAGAAGTTACCTGAGAAAAACTGCCCATCGGGCGGAAACCGGGCAGGGTACGGTACGTGTGTGCGATCGATCGAGAGCTAGATAGCTAGCTGATTAGATTTAGAAGTTAGAGAAAGTAGAAAGACTCCGCAGAGCTCAGAGCAAACAAACTGATAGAAAGTATGAATATTTGCTCATTAATCTTCATTCTGTCTGTGATGTGTCATGATGTCACTGGATGTGGGATCACAACCCATATAGAAATAGGTAATATATAATTTGTATTTTTTTTGTTGTATCACTTCCAAAGTTTGTTGCACGTCTTGTGCCAGGAGTCTACGTCTGTTTTTAGTGTTAGGCCTGGCTGCGAATTTTTTTTCCGTACTCGAGAGGGCAAATACCCCATGTGCGCATGCGCGTGGACTTGTGATTTCTCTGCTACTTCCCATACGAAATGTACATGTATTCGCATCTACTGTGCACGATTCGCGTTCTACGAGTAAACGATGGCATAGTAGTCTTCAAACACAGACTCTGATTTGCCAGTTTGACAAAACAATTACGCATATATCGTGCGTAGCAATAGTACTAGTATTCAAGTCTGAGTAGTTGTATGATTCAGACATTTTAGTGCTTACAGAAATGCATCCCAAATTGAATAGCATGGTATAGTAGTCTGCAAGCACAGACGCTAATCGGACAGTTTGACAACATAGTGTCTTGAGTAGTGCTTTATATTCAAATATGTGTAGTTTTATGATTCAGACCCTACTGGTGCGTGTATTGGAAAGGCATCTCAACTTGCAGAGTGGCATAGTAGTCTGCAAGCACAGACGCTAATCTGACAGTTTGACAAAATAGTGTTATTCAAGTCTGAGTAGTTTTATGATTCAGACCCTACTGGTGCGTGTATTGGAAATGCACCTCAACTTATAGAGTGGCATAGTAGTATGCAAGCACAGACTCTCCTTTGACAGTTTGACAGAATAATACATAGGCCTACCATGGGGTCTGGAATCATTAAACTACACAAACTTGCATAAAATCACTACTCATCAATACACAATATATTACTATGTCCTTGCAGACTACTATACTAAACTCTACACATTGAGATGCATTTCTAACGCACGCACCAGTAGGGTCTGAATCATACATCTACGCAGACTTGAATAAAGTACTTCTCAGCACACTACTAGTATGTTGTCAAACTGTCAGATTAGCGTCTGTGCTTGCAGACTACTATACCATTCTATACAAGTTGGCGACTTGAATAAAGTACTTCTCAGCACACTACTAGTATGTTGTCAAACTGTCAGATTAGCGTCTGTGCTTGCAGACTACTATACCATTCTATACAAGTTGCAATGTATTTCCATATGCACTACTGGGTCTGAATCATACAACTACACAGACTTGAATAAGCACATCGCGACACATACGCATATTGATTTGTCAAACTGGCAAATCAGAGTCTGTGTTTGAAGACTACTATGCCATCGTTTACTCGTAGAACGCGAATCGTGCACAGTACATGCGAATACATGTACATTTCGTATGGGAAGTAGCAGAGAAATCATAAGTCCACGCGCATGCGCACATGGGATTTTTGCTCTCTCGAGTACGGAAAAAAAATTCGCGGCCTGGCTATTGCTACGCCTCGCCGCCGGGCACGTGGGAGCAACGTACAGGTCGCAGCGCGCAGCCACCGGGCAAGTCTCGGGTCTCGACATAGACCTAGATCTATACTTTTTGGTATGGTAATCTCAAAATTATCTTGAACTTAATTATTACTTAACAATAACATGTTATTACGGAGCCCCGGAAGTGACATGGAGAATTTTTTTTTTTCTTGTTTTCCTGAGATAAATTCTCGTTTTCCTGAGATAATTTTTTGTTTTCCTGAGATAAATTCTCGTTTTCCTGAGATAATTTTTCGTTTTCCTGAGATAATTCCCGTTTTCCTGAGATAAATTCTCATTTTCCTGAGATAATTTCCGTTGTAAAATGAACAGTTAAAATGAATTGAAAAAATACAATTTTCTTCTATTTTTATAACGTTTTGGCATCTGAATGCCCCCCCCCCCCCCTGAGTACGATGTCATATATATTTACTGTAAATTGCGAGCGAGCGAAGAGCGCAATTAACAAATAAAAGACACTAGTCTTACTCGTACAAATTTAGGTACAATTCCAATTTGGATGATAAATCTATCTTGATTCAAGAACACTTTATTAACAGACTGCCCGATTACAACAGCCCACGAGGCCGACGGCCGTCAGCCTAGGGCCTAAATCCAGTTTTAGGGGGGTATTCAGTTATTCACATCACCTTGTAGGTCTCAACATTCAATTGTCGAAATTCGATATATTTATGAAGATAATTATCAATTCCAAAAGGGCCTTAAAGGGGAAGGCCACCCTAAGAATATCTATATTTTAATAAAAGGAGACAAATAAGACAAAGTGATTAATAAAAGTTTGAGGAAAATCGGATATGAAATAAGAAAGCTATGAAATGTTCAAGTTTTAAACAAATTAAAATCGATCAAGAAAATTGGGAAATCTGTGACGTCACATGCGCCACTTATACAATAGAATGCAAAATAATATATGAAAAATATGACATTTCAACTAAACAGAATATTTTATTTTGATGCACTCTTGATCGTAATAATTGCAAATAATCTCTGTGTTCTACAGCTCGATTCCTTCATCAAAACTCCGCGAAAATTGAAATTCCTATATTCTTTTGTATTCTATTGTATAGGTGGTCGCATATAACCTCATAGATTTCCCGATTTTCTTGATCTTTTATAATTTGTTTAGAACTTGACCAACATAGCAACAACTAATGTATGCAATTTACATTCTCACTATTGAAATGCAGTTATTTGAACAATTATTGATTGAATAGTTTGTCACTACGCACTTAAAAAGATGTGTGCACTAAATTTGACTTCATTATGAAACTGGTCGATTGGGCAATGAGATGTCGATATATTCTCAGGTTAAAATAGATTTGTAAATTCCAATATACATGTAGCCTTCTTTATACATTTGTCTACGTTTTCACTAAGAAGCGTTGTCTTTTCCTCGCTCGTTTTGCTCGCTTGTACCATAAAACCACCACATTTTAATCAGATTTGCTATCCAAATAATAGGTATTTTCCCCATACTTTCACTAAAAAAGTTCCAACTTTTCTCGCTCACTTGCACTATATACAACTGAAACCTAATTATGGGCAGCGAGATGTTGAATTGACAGCAAAAAAAATCAATCTAACTTCAAGTCAGAATTCAAGGCACATACCCTCCCACTGCCCCCAACTCCATGCTTCTCATTCTAATTTGTTTTCATTTTATTAGATGAGCGTGATACCAGAATAAATGGCATCTTCCCCCTCTTCTTTCTTTCTTTTCGATTTTCGTTTTATCGGTATCTTTTCTCTTGTCCTTTGTGTACTTCTTTGCGTAAGTACCTCTGTTATACACTCTCCCTCGTATGTCTTCCTATCTATATAAAATTCTTTCTATTCTCCCGAATTATCAACTTTTTTCATTCACCATCACTTCCTTTTTTCTCTCTGTTCTTTAATTCTTCTCCTCTCCTTTTAATTTTCTCTCTCTCTCCAATTTCTTTGCTCTCACTTTCCATCAATCTTCTTATTTCCACTGGCCCTAATAACACTTTTCTTGTGAAAAAATGGAAGTCAATAAATACATGTAAACAATCCAAGAGAGTGGGTTTATTATTACATACAGTGGTAATGTGGCATAATCTCTGAACAAAGAAATGTTAGGTATCTCGATCCCTTTTGCACTTTAATCGGTAATTGTCAGTATACATTTAAAAACCATAAAGTTGAGTCAGCTGATATTGATGTTGTCTTCTAAAATGGAATTCATGCAAGTGTAAACTTTGGTATAGAAAAATACTGATCCGGAGGTAAAAAAAATAATAAGTGGTATACAGTGACTTTTTGCAAATATTTAAAGAATTGTCATTAAAAGTACTCGAGTGGTGATCACATCATAGAATATAATATGCAGTAAATGTATAGCTTTCTGCTCACTAATGAAATATCGTCAAGAAGAACATAAGTATGCAGAAGCTTTTGAAAAGCAAAGAAAATGAATTTTGGTGTTAAAGATGGACATAAGTAGGATCTAGGAAGCTAGCTTTCTGTTAACAAATAAAAACGAAGTATAGCCAAGAAAACATAAGTACACGGTGGTTTTCCGCTAATAAATGAAATTAAGTTTGGTAAAGAAAAATATTAGTATGCCTATGCAGTCACTTTCTGCTGACAAATAAAATGAATAGCGATCAAGAAAAACATAAGTACACGGTGGCTTTCCGCTAACAAAAATAAATTTTGTTAAAGATGCACATAAGTAGGACCTAGTAAGTTAGCTTTCTGCTAACAAATAAAAACGAAGTATAGCCAAGACGAAAATGAAATTTGGTCAAGAAAAACATAAGTATGCCTATGCAGTCACTTTCTGCTAACAAAAAAAAGAGGTTTGGTCAAGAAAAGCCTAAGTACGCAATGGCTTTCTGCTAACAAATAAAATGAATTTTGCTCAAGAAAAACATAAATACGAGGTGGCTTTCCGCTAACAAAAATGAAGTTTGGCCAAGAGAAACATAAGTACGCAGTCACTTCCTGCTAACAAAAAAAAAGGAGGTTTGGTCTAGAAAGTACGCAGTGCCTTTCTGCTCACATATAAAATGAAGTATAGTTAAGAAAAGCATCAGTACCGCGGTGGCTTCCCGCTAACAAAAATGAATTTTGTTAAAGATGAACATATTAAAGTAGGACCTAGTAAGTTAGCTTTCTGCTAACAAATAAAAACGAAGTATAGCCCAGAAAAACATAAGTACACGGTGGTTTTCCGCCAATAAATGAAGTTTGGTCAAGAAAAACATAAATACGCAATGACTTTCTGCTAACCAATAAAATGAATAGCGATCAAGAAAAACATAAGTACGCAATGGATTTCTGCTAACAAATAAAATGAATAGCGGTCAAGAAAAACATAAGTACGCGGTGGCTAATTTCCACTAACAAAAATGAATGTTGTTAAAGATGAACATAAGTAGGACCTAGTAAGTTAGCTTTCTGCTAACAAACAAAAACGAAGTATATAGCCAAGAAAAACATAAGTACACAGTGGCTTAATTTCCGCTAACAAAAATGAAATTTGGTCAAGAAAAAAAATAAATACGCGGTGGCTTTCCGCTCAAACAAAAAAGGAGGTTT